ACGCCAGCATCTGGCCCAGGAAGGCTTTAGGATGCTTTAAAGAGAATTTAAAGAAGAGAGGATTTAGTTCCGGTCAAACTACTGAAGTAGTGTATTCAGTTCTGGATACTACATTTTAAGAATGACATGGAGAAACTGGAATGCCTCCAGATGTGGAAATCATGCCACATGGGGATTGTCTGAAGAACTGGGGATATTTGGCAAAGAAAAGATTTAATGGGGGAGGGACAGGAAAGTTGTCTTTAAATATTTTAGAAGATAGAGCAAGAGTAATGGATGAAAGTGACAGTGACGTGATTTAAGGAAAAGCATTCTAGCAATTCAAATTGCCTCCAAGTGGAGAAGGTTGCTTTGGGACGTAGTGGTTTCCCTCTCATTCATCATCTCTGAATGAGGACTAGCTTCAGATACAAATTAGGACGGATGATGCTTCCAATTTTAAGCTTCTGTGAATACAATAACATAATCCAATAATATAAAAATATAATCCAATAGATAATCAAAAGTCCAAAGATCTGTATTTTCATCCACATTGGTGCTGCCTCTCCTCTGATACAGATGGTGAACCCTCTTTGACATGGCAAAGCATCTTTGAAAGTTGTTGTGATTGGAAATTTCATCAGCGTGTGGTCAGTCTTGTGAAGGGCCTCTGAATATAGGTGAGCTGATCCTTGGATGACAGATATACAGTTTGTCACTAGGTCAATACTCAAATTATTTTTAACTTGCTAGAACCCCAAAAAACTAATGTTTCAGGTTCTAGGGTGGGAGAGAACAAACGTTTATTGTTATTGTCGTTTAGTCATTCAGTTCAGTCCAACTTTTTGTGACCCTGTGGACTACAGCACACCAATGCTGTCCTCAGAGTTTTCTTGGCAAAGATACTATAGTGATTTGCCATTTTCTTCTCCAGTGGATTAAGGCAAACAAAGGTTAAGTCACTTGCCCAGGGTCACACAGCTGCTAAGTCCGAGGCTGGATTTGAACTCAGGTCTTCCCGACTCCAGGCCCAGGGCTCTATCCACTGAGCCATCTAGCTACCTCTAAGGCAAACAGAAGTTAAGTGTCTTACCCAGGGTCACACAGTTAGTAAGTGTCTGAGGTCAAATTTGAACATTTATTAAATATTTACTATTTGCCAGCTATTATGCTAAGCGCTTTATAAACATTACCTCATTTGATCCTCACAATAATCCCAGGAGGTAGTTTTACATTTTACAGTTGAGGAAATTGAGGCAGACAGGTTAAGTGACTAGCTCAAGGTCACACAGGTAGGAAATCTTTGAGGCTGGATTTGAGCACAGGTCTTCCTGACTCTAGGTCCACTGTATCACCTAGCTTAAGTTCTTCCTCCATGAAGCTTTCACTAACAACTCGAGTCCACCCTACTTCTCTGAACTCATTCAGTGTTAGCACTATTTTGCTTTTTTTTTTTTTTTTGGTGAAGCAATTTGGGTTAAGTGACTTGCCTAGGTTCACACAGCTAATGTCAAGTGTCTGAGGATGATTTTGAACTTAGGTCCTCCTGACTCCAGGTCTGGTGCTCTATCTATTGCGCCACCTAGCTGCCCTACTATTTTGCTTTTTAAAAAAAACAAACAGTATTTTATTTTTTTCCCTAGTTACATGTAAAAAAAAATTTTTAGCCTTCATTTTTACCATATTTTTTTCCCTCTCTCCCTCTCTTCCCCTCTTCTGAAAATAGTAGGCAGCTATCATGTGCTATCATGTAAAAATATTTACATATTAGTTACAGTTATGAAAGAAAAAACAAAAGAAAAAGAAAAAAAGAGAGAATGAAGTAAGTGGAAAAAAATTATGTTTCAATATGCATTCAGAGTCCATCAGTTCTTTATCTGGATATGGATGGCATTTTCTTTGTGAGTCCTTTGTACTTGTCTTGGATCACTGTGTTGCTGAGAAACACTGAGTAGTTCATAGGTGATCACGCAATATTGCTAATACCGTGTACAATGTTTTCCTGATTCGGCTCACTTCACTTTGCATCCGTTCGTACAAGTCTTTCCAGTATTTTCTGAAATCTGCCTGTTCATCATTTCTTATTACACAATAGTATTCCACTACATTCATATACTATAGCTTGTTCAGCTATTCCTCAATTGATGGGCATCCCCTCAATTTCCAATATTTTGCCACCATGAAAAGGGCTGCTACAAATATTTTTGCACATGTAGGTCCTTTTCCCTGTTTTATGATCTTTTTGGGATATAAATCTAGTAGTAGTGGTATTGCCAGACCAAAGGGTATGCACAGTTTGATTGCCCTTTAGGCATAGTTCCAAATTGTTTTCCAGAATGGTTGGATCAGTTCACAACTCCACCAATAATGCATCAGTGTCCCAATTTTCCCACATCCTCTCCAACATTTATCATTTTCCTTTTTTATCCTATTAGCCAAAATGATAGGTGTGAGGTGGTATCTCAGACTCCCAAGTATTTTATGTTGTTTACAGTTATTTTAAATGGAATTTCTTTTTCCATCTCTGGCTGCTGTACTTTATTGGTTATATAAAGAAATGCTGATGATTTGTGTAGGTTTACTTTATATCCTGGAACTTTGCTAAAGTTGTTAATTATTTCAAGTAATTTTTTAGTTCATGCTCTAAGGTTCTCTAAGCATACCATCATATCATCTGTAAAGAGGGACAATTTTGTTTCCTCATTGCCTATTCTAAATCCTTCAATTTCTTTTTCTTTTCTTATTGCTCTTGCTAACATTTCTAGCACTATATTGAATAATAGTGGTGATAATGGACATCCTGATCTTATTGGCCAGGCTTCTAGCTTGTCCCCATTCCAGTTAATGCTTGCTGATGGTTTTAGATAGATACTGCTTATCATTTTAAAGAATGCTCCCTTTATTCCTATGCTCTCTACTGTATTTAATAGGAATGGGTGCTGTATTTTGTCAAAAGCTTTTTCAGTGTCTATTGAGATAATCATATGATTTCTGTTGGTTTTGTTATTGATACAGTCAATTATATTGATAATTTTCTTAATATTGAACCAACCTTGCATTCCTGATATAAATCCCACCCGATCATAGTGAAAAATCCTTGTGAAAGATTGCTGTAATTGCTTGCTAGTATTTTATTCAAAATTTTTGCATCATTATTCATTAAGGAAATTGGTCTATAATTTCCTTTCTTTGTTTTAGCTCTTTCTGGTTTAGGTATCAGTACCATATTTGTGTCATAAAAGAGTTTGACAGGACTCCTTTGCCTATTTTTCCAAATAATTTATATAGTATTGGAATTAATTGTTCTTTAAATGTTTGGTAGAATTCACTCATGAACCCATCTGGCCCTGGGAATTTTTTCCTAGGGAGTTCATTAATGGCTTGTTCAATTTCTTTGTCTAAGATGGGGTTATTTAAGCATTCTATTTCCTGATCTGGTAATGTAGATAACTTACATTTTTCTAAATATTCATCCATTTCACTCAGAGTGCTAGATTTGTTGGCATATAATTGGGCAAAATATTTCCTAATAATTGCTTTAATTTTTTCTTCATGGGTGGTGATTTCATCATTTTAATTTTTAATACTAGATATTTGGTTTTCTTTTTTTTTAAATCAAATTAACTAATGACTTATCTATCTTATTGGTTTCTCCATAAAATCAGCTCCTAGAATATTTAGTAGTTCAATAGTTTTTTGTTTTGTTTTGTTTTTAGTTTTCAGTCTTATTAATCTCACCTTTGAATTTCAGGATTTCCAGTTTGGTGCTCAACTGGGAATTTTTAATTTGCTATTTTTCTAGTTTTTTTAGTTGCATACCCAATTCATTGATCTGATCTTTTTCCATTTTAGTGATGTAAGAATTTAGAGAAATAAATTTTCCCCTAAGTATTGCTTTGGCTGCATCCCGTAAATTTTGGTATATTGTGTCATTGTTGTCATTTTCTTTAATGAAATTATTGGTTGTTTCTGTGATTTGTTCTTTGACCCACTTATAATTTAGGATTAGATTATTTAGTTTCCAATTAATTTTTTTCTTTTTTTTTGTTTTTTGTTTTTTGGTTTTTTTT